CCGTACAAATGACCGAGAGCCAAATATTTTCCCGTACGGCCCGACCTAACTCAGTCAATAAGCATTTTATCATATGACCCTCACGAAAATAAAAGAAATTAAAAAATAAAGGGCGCGGATTCGAGCAGGGCCATACGGGTTTTTCCGGCCCGCTTACGTCAACCCGTCCGGCCCCCATCACGTGACTTTTTTCAAATGGTTTTATTAGAGCGCGCGAGCAGGGCCGTACGGGTCATATGATAATATAAAAGATTAAAATATACAAGATAATTATCAATATATAATATATATTTATAATTTGAAACTTTCTTTGCTGTTCTGGCTTTAAATGGAAATTAGATCTTAAAGTTTGTTGGCCGGATCGAGTTATAAATCAATCAGTACAGCCTTATCGTTCAATTAGAATATGTAGGTGATGCTTAATCTTGCAATACGATCCTTTCCTTTAGCACATCGGTAAAGATAAATTTGTTTTCACACAAGATATTGAACATATCTTCGAAAAAAAAACAAACATTTTAACAAAGGATGGAAGTGATTTGATTAGAACAGTTATTACGGAAACCGCTTTGGATCAATAGAAATTGAGAAACCATTAACCAATCACAGCGCTTCAATACAAGAAGCCATTTGAAWGTTGAGTTTTGCATTTCATTCCGAGGATATTTTCAGTCAAGCAAATCGTTCTTCCAAATAGTTTATTTCTAACCCACAAATTCAAATAAAAATCACGATTACACATGCTGTACAGAGAATAATGATGTTTCTATAWAATAGAAATTTCAGAATTCAGAATTATAATTTATCATATGACGTCATTAACGCCATATTTGCTCGTGTACGAACCAATATGGCACCCATGTCTTTGTATTTTTTTGTGTGCGGAAAAACCGAAGGGATTTTAACGACTGTCTTTAGATAGCTTCTGATGTTTTTTCCCAGTTGCATTTCAAAGTTTGAGGGAAGCATGCCGTAATGGAAAATCATTCTGTAAACTGCGATTCTATCATTGTGAATCGGCAATATTGCTAATGAGTCATAGCTTTTAGAAAGAACTTTATGACAACATTTGAAGACGGAAGTAAAAAAGCAATAAGTGATATTGTTAAGTTTTACTCTTATTCTAGTTTTTCGCAAAGCCCGCTGCTTAACTTTGTCGCTCGCTCGTTGCGTTCGACAAGGTCTCGCTTCGCTGATGCTTAAAAGCTCCCGCGAGAGACAAAAGAGGTCGACTTGAGGCAAGTCTACTCTAATAATATTCTAGATATGTAGACACTAAATTTAAAAATAACTTCCTGCAATTCCTGTGTAATTATCAGCAAGAACAGTAGTTCTCTTTTCAAATGGTTGTTACTTTTGCCCAGCAAAGTGCTACGGAAAAAAATCGTCGTTGCATCAACATCCGTTAATATCCTCTTCATCTATTTTCCCTAAATAATGACTTGTATGTCTTGCAGCACATYCTATTATTGTCACATTTTCCACTTCCTGGATTTCCTTGAGAAAAGGGATGAATCAGCATAACTGTGGGCCATAAAGGCCATAAGGGTAGAAACAATGGTAATCATGAAGGCACCCATCCTGCCATGGCTGCATCCTCGAACCTTTCTACCCTGTAACGTGATGGAGGGTAGAATCAATGGTAATCAAGTCAGACCAGCAAGAAAACCCATCCTGCCCTGCCTGGACCTTCCCTGTAAGTTGAGCCAGGGCAAAAAGGGACTCATCCTGCGATGGCTCCATGCCTGGACCTTCCTACCCTGTAACTCGATGGAGGGTAGAATCAAAGGTAATCATGAAGGCACCCATCCTGCCATGGCTCCATGCTTGGACCTTCCTACCCTGTAACTGATGGAGGGTAGAATCAATGGTAATCATGAAGGCACCCATCCTTCCATGGCTCCATGCCTGGACCTTTCCTGTAACATGATGGATGGGTCACAGAACCTTAGGTTCCCTAGATTAATGACACAAAACTTCCTAACTTGAAGACATCTATCCTTGGCATACCCTGTAGATACAATAACACATTCAGCAAAAACTAGGGCCATTTGCACAAGGGAAAAGTTTTTGTTGTAAATCATATTCACTAGTTCTCTGTTTTATATTGAAATTCATTGTCTTCGGCGTAGAATACTATAGGGTCGTATTTCTTGACTTGGTGTGAATCGAGTGCTTCGAGGGAGTCCTATGATAACAAAAAATAAATAAATAAATAAAGTAATCTATGTAAAATATCTCATTCTAAAACGACGGGGATAGGATGTTGTCGTTAAGGCAATACTTTCTACCTTTGAAGCTGCTTGACCTCTATTCCTATTTCCCATTTCATTATCATCCGTTTCTCCTCCTCCATTCATTATCTCCAAGCGACCAGAAGCCATATGATTTAATAGCTCATCTTAAAGGAACAAATAATAGCACATGTAAAATAAGATATATTAAAAAAAATTCAAGACTTGAACACAGAAATAGTTGTGCTATAGAGATATCCAAAGGGTAAGGGAATGCCTTCAAGGGCGGATCTAGCCAAAATTTTAGGGGGGGGGGGGCTAATTGAGTTTCTTCCGTCAACACAACGGAAAGTAATATAAAAAAGAATCGTTTTTTTTTCCTTTGCCCCCCCCCTGGATCCGCCCTTGGCCTTTTATTCAATCTATAAGGAGCAGAAAATTTTACCATGACATCAGCGAAATCGATCTATCAATCACAAGATTTTCTTTTTCTTCTGTTAATTATTTTGCTTCTTTCCGTGCATAAACATATAATGCGAAACAATTGAATCAGTGATGGATGGTTTATCTATTGCCAAAATTCTAGTTTATTACCTTCAAAAAAGAAAACTTAACATACCATTTTTTGGTTTTAGATTTTTTTTTTAAAATGCCACCTACACAGCCCAAGACATCTGGTTCTGGTTGTATGAGGAGTGGATAGTGTTATTGCCAACAGATAAATCTTATCCAGTTAATAAATTCATTGGATAACAGCATTGAATTATACACTGGATAAGGGTTTATCTGTTGGATAGTGCTATCCACCCTTCTTCCAACCAGACCTGGGTTTGTGCCTTCTGTCAATCACAAAATTATTAACTCAGACTGTTTGAAATTTGATTGACAGAAACCAAAGACCCAGACACCTGGAAGTGTAGTTGATTGTCTGGGTCACAATTATTAACACAATATGTATAATCACTAATATACCGTCATCGTCATCTTCATACTCCTCCAATAGGTTGGTAGTAGATGCAGCTCCACCAGATATGAGACTAATATAGTGTTAATGGAAACATTCATCCTGAAGTTTAAATGTTCATGAAATTGCTCTGCCTCTTTACTGTGCCCTCTAGCCTACCGTTAATCTTTAGGGGAGTGAAGAGGTGTGCAACAGCCTTAGGATGTCTGCATAGTAAGCTGCAGTGGCAGATTCAAGGAACTTTTTTAGAGGTACTGTCTGTGACCAAAATACTACCAATGTACCAATGTCATTTTCTTACCATAAACACTCATCTCGTACTAATGAGAGGTGGGGGGGGGGGGGGGGGGGGGGGGGGGGGGGGGGGGGGGTGGCAAATGCAACCAAGGGACACATTTTTGCAAGGAGTTTCTTAACCTTTATAATTTGCATTCCCAGAGACTTCCCTCTCCCTGCATCTGTACTTGAACTTGACAACTAACAAGGCCACCAATGTAACAATCTATCATGGGCATAATAATCTTGGGATCTCTGTGGTAGATTTTTCATTAGTCTCTTTTTTATCAACAAACAATGACAGCCATCGACATATTCTCCTTGGATCGATTAACCTGACACCCAGTTGGATCAGTTGGTTTGGCACCTGTCTGTTGTGCAGAAGGTCATGGTTTTTGTAGCTGGACTGACGCTTGGGATCTTAAAAATATCTGAGTAGAAGGTGCTGCCTATGCTGCTTTTGTTTGTTGTTTTTGTTGATTGSAAACCATTAATTTCAAGTCAAAAGGATACTTGGCTCTCTGACTAGTYTTCTTTCTGTGAAAGATCCTTGCCATTTTGTCTAACTTTTTGCGGGTGTCTAAAAAATTCATACATGTCAGGCATTTAGAAGTTAGCTTTACACCATTTTTTAAAATAGATTTTATTTTCTTACTTTTTCCCATGTGTTTGAGTTTTTCTCTCAATACGACATCATCATTTTGTTGATTAGAGCTACTGCTGATGTGTCCTCCTCCTCCTCCAACTGCTCCAAGATGAGACAGATCTGCTGGATCACTACTGCTTGGATTACTTGAATGTACTTCTGTGTTGATAAAGAGTATGATATGTAAGATACTTACAAAAAAAATTATCACAAAAAATAAACATGAGTGTTCCTGCATCACCAGGCTTCTTTACCACTAACAAATGAGTAATTTAATATTCTTTACCAACCTCTTATTTTATTATATTTTTTGAATAAAAAATAAAAAATTGAAGATTTCCACCCCCCCCCCCCCAAACAACTTATCACAATAGGGGATACAAAATAAAGAATGTTATGGATAAACACCCTCTGGGCTGATCAGAATGCAACTACCTTACTCACTGAATTGCAATTTTGTCTGTAAGGTTTTGTGGAGAAATAAAGACTGGATATCCCAAGAACTTATAGGTAACAAGCACTCATTGGTGTCACTGTTTMTAGATTCCATAGCAACACTAGGTTAATGGGACCCATCATGGTTAGACAAAGGACTATGGCCCCAAAACATGACAGCGAGGTGGTATGGATCCTTTCCCATGATAATAAAAAACAAGAGACATGGTTGATATGAGAGAAGAAACAAAATTCAAGTCAACTGACATAGTGGCTATACTATCAAATGAGACTTTTCCAAGTTCAATAAAAACGGTGCATTCTAGTCTAGCTTGGATACAAACACCATATATGGCAATTTAAACAAAAGATGTTTGTACCCAAGCTAGACCATAATGCACCATGTTTGCTATCTTAGAAATGGTCCAGCACTACTATGATTGAGTGCGCCATCAAAAGCCTTGCACTTACCAGAATCAAATGATGGTTTATTTGAAGAAGCAGAAGCAATTGGAGTATCAGTTACATCATCCTTGTTGGTATTGAGCAACATACTTCTTTGCTTATCTGTTCAAACAAAGCAGATCATTGTTATGATTGAATTTTTATCCTAGCAGCTATAGCTTCTTCACTGTTGTCAATCAAAAACCAACCTACAAACTTTAATATTATATACCCTGAAACAACCTTTGGGCTAGTCAAAGTTAGTGGCACAGCTAAATCACAGATCAAATCGAAATTTAGCTCTTTTTTGAGAACAGGAGAAAAAACATCAAATCATGATGAAGGGAAGACCTAACAAACTCTTCTCACACTTCTCACATGGGATGGTGAGTTAAGGAATTGAACCTAAGACCCAAGAGGTAGGAAGTGAGTGCACTACGGCTAAGCAACCCTTGATTCCTTGAAGGGGTTGCATATTCCCCTTCACAGTTCCCTGCACCAGCTTGAAAGGTATCCATGCCTTTGTATTGAAGTGAGATTAATGATGAGCTTGCAATGATAGAGACTTGACCTATATTGTCCTAGGTGTTAAGAAAGGTCTCTATCATTGCATACTGTAGCTCCTCTTGCTTCAATTCATAGGAACAGCTCCCTTTCAAGATGGCACAGGGAGCTGTGAAGGTGACTATTTCTCAAATCCTATCCAACAATGAATTGGAAACAGCGAAGTCTCTAATGTGTTTAAAATCTTAGAAATACTAAAGTCCGGTTGTATATTATCTCAATTAACAGCTTTAATTAACAAAATGCGACTAGAAACAGATCAGATCTAGATTTGTTACTAAGATCCTCAATATATGCATTTTTCATTAAACAAAAATATAAATACTGTTATATAATCTTTCGCCAAATCGAAACTTGATCTGGTACGATTCTAAAAATAATACATCTCAGGTATGACGTATGACGTCGATCTTTAAATACTTGAACTAACAAATACAAATATTAGAGAAATCACGCTTAGAGCTAATAAAAAGAAGATCGGATCTTACAAAACGATAATTCAAAATCAAAAATCCAATTTCTAAAGTATCGTTTCGAGGACAGTATTTAGCATTACGATATTATTCGGCATTAAAATAATTTTAGAACCCACCTCTTTCTAGAGACATCATAAAATCTCTRTCATGTTTGAGTTCTCGTACAAACTCTTCATTTTGTAAGAACTTTGCAAGCTTTTCGTCCTCCAAAAACTGTTCATATTCTCTATCGACACGTCTGTCARTAAAGGTAGTTGAGTTTGGAGATGRTTCTWTTCTTGYGGTTGKTCTTGAAGCAGGATTAACATGCTTGAGGCGAAGGAAATCATCAGGAAGATTCCCGAGGAGAGGAGGATTCCAGTTTGAATACGGCCTCGCCGGCAAAGGCCTTGACTCAAAATTACTACTTTCAGGCTCTTCTTCTCTCGGAGAATAAGCTGGGGGAGGTTCTTTGGGGCCTGAGTCAGTATATGAAGGTAAATAAGGGAATCCTCCGGTTGTTTTGTTGTCATCTCCGGCGCCCATAGAAAGCAACTGGTCGATAGTCGCGTCAACCAAGCCGTTATTCGCTCTCAAWACGGCCTCAATAACCTCATCATCTAAGTCAGGAAACATGGTTTTGAAGTCCTTCATTGCTTTACCGAATTCCAGTTGTCTTGGAGAGTCGTTAGACTGATTGTTTGGGTTCCGAGGAGGTCTTGAACGAAGGCTTTGACCAAAAGCAGGAGCAAACGCCGCCATGTTTTCCTTTGGTTTCCGCTTTTTTTATCGACCAAAACTTTGAAATTAAAATCCCAGGAATCTTCGAGAAGCCCTAAGGACAGATTAAGTTACATAAATTAAGAATTGGTGTTAAATTTAGGGCCCAATATGGCTTTTTTCTAGAGGAAATAAACTTTTTAGTTCAGCAACATGTTGAACATTGCCGACAATCGGCACGTTTGAAGAGAAAGTTGTTGTTCCCAGTCAACTACGGTCGGATATAGTAGAGGGGGAAGGGAGGGGAGGGGAGGGGAGAAATGAGAATAGCTACCTCGGTCTCGTACTATTAGTCCTAATCTAATACTGAATTTAAATAAAGAAATAAATAAAGAAAAAAAGAAAAGAAGAAAAAAGAAAGAAAAAAGGGAGAAAGAAAAAAGAAGATATCGTATTACCTGGAATATAATAATAATATTTATGCAGAGTTAACCTGCGTAGCCGCTATGCCGGCTAATCGCAGAGTATGAGATGAGTTTAATGATGATATTTTTAGCTCATGGTTGTTATTAGAAATTCAAAGGGGTTGTCCTGAATCTGCTGAAAGCAGTCTGTCCCAAAATAAACTGGCCAAATTTTGGTAAAACCATATCGCAGGCTATGATAATTCATGTTCAAATCTTTGTAGAGTATAAGGTATTATCTTTATGCGGAGTGCAAACAATATATTCGTGAAACACTAATGACTAAATTGTTAAAAATAGTGCTAGTTAAACAAAAGAAAACAATTGGATTAGCATAAAATAGTGTTAGGTTAGTATTGTTAATATTGACGGATATGTTTTTGCACTCTAATCGTAGGCATATATAATAATATAGTTCATGTCGTACAAAGGGGTCATCCCTTATCAACTGAAAGCACTTGGGAATTTCACATCATTTCCTTTAAGTGGGAAAATCCTCATCTTTATCAGTAGTACAGACCTTTTACAGTGTATTATATTCCTGATCAATCAGCATGACTAGGCAGGCGCCGATCCRGGGGGGGGGGGGGGGGGGGGGGGTCCATGGATGCAGCAGACAACCCCCAAGCTGCCTGATTTTTTTCGTGTTTGTTTTTTCCCCCTATTATTATGGCTTTTTCTTGAATATTTAGTTGGGCTAAAGATAAATTGCGTAAGATCAAATCTAAAAATAAATCTAAGAACAAATTGAATATTATAAAGTCAGAACATTATTATTGATGAAGTCACTATGTCATCACTTGCTTCATTTCAGAAACCCCCTTTAAATTTCTGGACTTGCCCCTGTGAAGGGTCAAACATTTCTTGTGTTTTATGCATAGTTTGGAAAATATTGTCTTAATGACATTGTTAATTCATGATTAAACAGTATCAGCACAATCACTTTCAATCATATTCCATTTTCAAGTTTAATATGCTTTTTTTTCCATAGTCCAGTTTGATGAGGTTTGTGAGGTTTGATCTGTGAGTTAGATCTGGCCTGACGTTGATCAGCCCAGAGGTTGTTTCTGTAGCGCAATAGAATTTCAAATTTGAAGTAGCATAGTCATTCAAAAAACTCCTTGCATGTAAACACTTTAATTATAAGTGGCCTGTGATTATTAATTGATTATCAATAATTAATTATCAAGGGATAKYGTTATTTAAATAATCCACATTTCCTAAAGGTATTGGGTTTAACATCTTTTCTTCTTAGTGTTCCTATTGCAACTAAAGAAAAAGGAAGACAGCACTTGAGGCCACATTTATGTATTTAATTTACTGGCACATCTCAGGCTGCTATATATTATATCATATTATATCAGCAGTTTCTTTTTGAACATGAATAAATTGCTCTAAAAAATTAAAGAATTTCTGCTGACATCAATATACTTAACAAAAAATATTGATCAGGAATAAGACGTAACAAGTTGATTTTAGCATTCATGGACAAAACAAATGTTGGGAATCGAAAATTGGAAAGGAAAAATTATCTGAGTGTTTAAAAGTAAATATTGAGCTTTCAGCTGCGAAATGAAAATTTTTATGGACATCCAGGTAGATTTATCATCTTTTTATGTCTCCCAAGTCCTCTATACTATCTTCATCAATCTGGCAAGAAAAAATGCAAAAAAATGTATTTCATAAAAAATTATGATCTCTGCAATAGTTCCCAAAACAGCATACCAATGTCTGCCTGACAACCTACCAACCCTCTACTGATTACCTTCTGACACCCTACCAACACCCTATTAACAACCCACTAATACCCTACACACAGCCTGTTGACAGCCCACACGTCACCCTACTGATAACCTACAAACGGCCTACTGATAACCACCAAAACCCTATTGACAACCCACCAACACCCTACTGACAACCCACCAAAACCCTACTGACAACCCTCCAACACCCTACTGACAACCTACCAACACCCTACTGACAGCCCACCAACAACCTACTGACAACCCACTAGCACTCTACTGATAACCCACCAACACTCTACTGACAACCCACCAACCACCTAACAGAATACTACCAACCCTCTACCGCCAACTTACTGCAACAACACCCTAATGACATCCTTCTGACAAACTACTGACAACCTAACAACATGTTACATGAAGGATTTGTAGTGTACCTCTTTCCAGTTTTCAGGAATGAAGTCCCATAGGTCATCTGTAACATCTCCTTGAATGGAAATTTCATCTTCACCACTTACTGATGCCCCACAAGAGAACCGCTGAGCAAAGGCCTTTGCRGCTTTCTTGGGCTCGATATCTGTATATGGAAAGAAAAGTCATGATTATGAAAAATATCCCTAATATAATTATGTGTTATGCTTAGCCTGGGCAGACACACTCAGGGAGAGGGGTCTAAAATCCATCAAAACAGGGAGATTGACTTTTCTTAAAGTAAAAATCCACTAGAGAAAAAGTTTTTTATATATTTAAAGATGAAGTTCCCAATAGAAAATATAACTCCTAACCCTGGAGAATTTTGTCAGTTGGAAACGGAATCATGATCAAACTTGATTTGCATTTTCAAACAGGCTGCGCAATCCATGTGCGAAAAAAGAAAAACAAAAACCACCTTTATTGTGTTTTTTTTCCTTTCATTAGGCCCATTGCATGGTTAGGAATGTAAAAATATAACTTGGTTAACATTCCACAGGTTTTGGTTGAATGGCTCAATATTTTAACATGCAACTGAGTGCAATCAAATTACTTGAAACTGGAGTATGTGCACTCAGCTGTATTTCCAATCAGTAAGTTCCAATTCAATAACATACACTGTCACATGATCTGGGGCAATTCCATTTAACCCCTCCCCCTCCCCCACAACGGAAATTCTGGTTGGCAAAACAAAATGGTATGTGTCATTCTGAAAGTTTGCTGTAAAATTTTGCCTTCTGGTTTAAGGTAATTTACTTTTCAAACTCTCTTTGGTTCTTTCAATGGACAATTGTACCATTTGCTGAAAGTCAAAGTTTCCTGCCCTTTTCTTATCATTAGCGAACAAATTTCCAAACCAATGGAATGGTACTAATGGTGAGCACCCCAGACAATATACAAAAATTACAATAGATTGTTCCTTACCAAATGTTGAAAGACCTGTTACTATGGTAACGTATTTCTTTTTATTTCTTTGTGTTCTTGAAATTTGGATTAACTTTGGAGCATTCTATGAGCAAAAATGAAAATATTACAGTGGGACTACATCAAGGCCACCCAAACGAATATTAAATCAAATCCACAAATCACATTGTTAACACTGCATAACAGATGAATTAGTGAATTCTGGGTTTTAAACTGTTTCTTATTTTCTCCTGATCATACACACATGTATAAAGTAATATGATTTTTTAGAGAAAAAATGTGAACATTTGTACAGTTTCTATTGTTTAAATACTGGTTGGCTAATTTGTATGAAAATGTGTCTGGGTGGCCTTAGTTGGTGTAGTCCCACAGTAATTGGATAATAGTGTAAAATATATACATAAATATATAAATGTAAAAAAAGATGTATAAGAGCGCATGAGTCCAAGGACTTGCCAAAAATTACAAAAATATGTTCCTAAATTTCTAATTTTTATTTTGATCCAAAGTTAACACACAACTCTGTTTGAAAGCATGGTTTTTATTGATTATATTTCACTTCCAGAAATTTTGCATGCGCCAAAAAATGGATTATGCCAGAGCTCCCATTCTTCACTGCAGGGGTGAAGAAACGCAGGCCTGCCTGAAGGAACGCAGGCTCTGGGTATGAGATTGGCCTTGAATGAGTATAATATTCAGAGTCAGAGTCTGCACTGTAAAGATCCCCAAAATATCAAACCTTTTTCTTTGGCAATTTTATTTTTCCTCTTCCACCTCTAGTTTGTCGTTTTTTATCTTTGTCACTGATATCCAATGACCCCACTCCATCAACAGCTGAAGAAGTAAAAAACAAAAATTATTGAAGTCTTTCTATAATATCTAATCACTATGGCTAAGAACTGTGCTTTAGTTGTGACCGGAGCATGGTGCAGATAAGCACGGAAAAGATGTTTCATTTCTTAAATAACGAAAAATATGAGCTTTTTCTGTGTTCCGTTCAGTAATAAAGCATACAGTAAGTGGTGTAAGTAAGAAAGAAGTGTAAGGAGAAACATGCAATGGCTCGTATACAAACTGTAGGCGAGTGCTTCTCACACTTCTTGAGGGCTTCAGCGCTTCCTAAGTGCTTTATTACTGAAAGGAGCACCGAAAAAGCTGTTTTATTTGTTTAATCATATTAGTTATTAATTTTATTTGGGTATTAAATTTATTTACGCAAAAAGAAAGACGGCCAGGAACTAGCAGCGCTTCGCATGCACAGATGGCACAGCACTGTGCTCTGTTCAGTAATAAAGGACAGTTTTCGACCAATCAGTGTGTGTGTACTATCCTAACTATATTAAAATTAAAATTAATGATTGGGTAAATTAATGGTGCTAAGGGCTTAAAATAATGGCTGGTCAGTTACCAATATTATATTATAACCAGACAATTAGGTTTAGCTTGGTCAATATATTTAATTATTAGGTATGATGTTACTGTCAAAATGACTGGCAAGGAAAAGATTTGACTGGACCATCCAATGACTACCATTTATTTTTAGCCTTGGGTGGTGGCTGATGCTTCATGGGAAGCACATGCCACTAATGTGCCACCTCTTATCAATGCGACCCATGTTTGAATTCCTGGACTGGACCATCGAATGACTACCATGTATTTTTAGCCTTGGGTGGTGGCTAATGCCTCATGGGAAGCACAAGTAATGTGTAAGTGGTGTGTGCCACTAATGTACCACCACTTATCAATGCGACCCATGTTTGAATTCCTGGCCCTGAGTGTCAAATGTGGGTAGAAGAGTTTGGATTCCCAGGCTTGTTGTTACATGCAAGTCAAGTTGCTTGTTGATTCCCTCCTGTGTTTCAAGGGTTGTTCTCCAGGTAATCTTGTTTTCCTCCCAACTCAAACATCACCTTCTAAATTCTAAWTTTAYYTTKGGCTTTCAGCTAGTTGRAGYCTGGMTCTGTTGTGATTGTCCCACCYRGTKATACAACAGYGAAAGTSTARCAGAATGCTRGTTRTACCTTTATTCAAGTCATCAAACACTTCTGGATGGTTTGACATTAACCATTCTTTACATTTTTCAGATTCAGGGCTGAACTCGCAATACTGTTAGGAAAAAGAAGAGATTTTATAATTGGTGTACTTGAGTAGATTTTGTATGACCATGAAATGTCATGGAAATGGCATGGAAGGGAAAAATGAATGGAAAGAAGGGAGGAAAATGGAAACAGAAGAGAAAAATGAAGAGAACAAAAAAAAATGGATAGGAGGAAAAAAGTAGAAGGAAAAGATGAAAAGACAGAATGAAAGACGACACAAGAAGAAAAGGCAATGGAAATTTTTGGAATAGAAATACAGCAATGAATTTGATTTAGAAATCTGGTGAACTCATCTCAATAAATGATATTAAAGAAACCTAAACAAATAAGGAATAATTTAAAATTACTGATATGCTTTAATTCTATGAAGAGTTGTCTATAATTACCTCGATTGGCATAGTACATACTGAAGATGAACAGTAGAGTCACGACATGAAAAAAATACACACATCGAAAAATTAGTTTCGCTTTGAAAATGCTCCCAAAGTCAGAGAAAGAGAAGCATTTGACAAAGACCTAGTGGTATAGTACCTCCACAGTAAAGTACTGATAAAGGATAGCTGATTTTTGCCTTCGTCTCGCCAGCATTTTCTTCTTCGATCTCGTGTGACTCTACTTCGGCCGCCATCTTGAATTATAGGGTAACCGCTGGTTTTGGTTGTGTCGTGGGCGCATTAAACTGGGTGGCCAGGCCTTAACTTAGAAAATGAGAGAAGGAAGGAAGGAAGGAAAGAAGGAAGGAAGGAAGCAAGGAATGAAGGAAGGAAAGATAGAAGGAAGGAAGGGATATGAATGAAGAATGAATTAATGATGTTTTTGATGGTTGTAGCCCTCCCTCTTTTACTAAGTCATAACCCTCCTATTAAATCAACAAGGAAAAAGCTTTTGATAAATAAAAAGGTTTGAACCTTCAAAAAACTTTACTGACTCTCCCCTCTGAAGCCCTACCCTCCCCTCCCACTGAAAAACATACCTCTCTCTCTCTCCTAACCAAATTTATTAGCTTACAAATAATATTGCCTAGCACTTCATATTATTGTACTCACGATCCATTTACTAATTCCTTAATTGTTATCATGCAATACCTAATATAACTCAATTAATCCTCCAAGGATTAAAGGACAATTAGTTTTATCAGTCCTGATCGTTTAATTACCTCTAAAAGCATGTTTGACTTAATTAAAAGCTTTATCAGTTATAAACATAAAAAATACAGATCTAAATCAGTGTTTTTTGATATCATTGTAAAACAGTGGCCGCAAACTTGGTTTGGAGATTGAATCGAAAAAGAATAAAAGCTCATATAAATTCCTGAAATATTAGGTAAGTCAATGAAACGCTGGAGAATCAATTGAAAGTTTGGGGTAATTTTTTTCACACATAAGTCTGTACAGTTGTTTTGTCACGAATCATCAGCGACTAGCGACCAGTTTTTTTTACACAGTTCCTTGTAATACTAGATGCTATACAGCGAGCTCAGTTTTTACTGGGAAATGCCAGAATTACTAATATAGTACTCAGTAACATGGCGTGCGATGTTTTACAGGCTTGGGTTTTTTGTTTGTTTTATACTTATTAAGAAAAACGTACGGAAAACGCTGGATTACTGATAATTCAATTCAATTTTATCGTAAGAGCCAATATTAATAAACGGTAACTGCTTTGAAAGAAAGATATGAAAACTCCATCTGATTATTTTTATTTATCAACAATTCGGTGGAAGACCTTTTACTGTATGAGTTGGGCCTCAAAAAGATTAAAAACAACTTTCAAACGGATGTTTATATGGCAAGTGCGAACATGTATATATATCCATCAATCGTTCCATGATGGAAATGGAATTTAAAGGTGTTAGAAAAACTGGAGAACCTGGCTATGAAGAAATGCCCTCGAGTGCATCGATCAAATTGCAAACCTACATTCTCTGTTATGTTTGAGAGGCGGACGCATTAGCTAGCGCTGCGCACACCAGCTACCCAGGAGAACAGCCCACGAAGCACACCATAATCAAGAAGCAACTTTACAAAACGCGATGGCGAGTGCAGCAATCAAACCGTCCCATAATCTTGCAATTGGTCATCAGAGGCGACGCATTAGCTGGAAATATACTAACATAATCTACCCTTGTATGTGCGCATTTACCAATCCCGCTCGTACCTTTTCTATACTAGTTACCAGAAAGGAACGGTAATGGAATCCGCAGAGGTCGAAGAAGTCTTGCGCAGAATCGAATTTCACAAAGGAGTATTCGGTGTGGTAGTTCTGAGCCCAGAGGGAAAAGTCCTTAAGAGTTCCCTGGACAATATAACTACGAACCAGTACGCATCCATGTGCCGCACAGTAGCAGGAATGGCCCAACGTGCGGTMAGGGACCTTGATCCGCAGGATGACATGGTTACTTTAAGGATCAGAACTGATGACCACGAGATYATGATGGCGCCAGGAAAATCATCAGAGGGGAACTATTACATAGTGACTTTGCAAACTATACAGAACTTCAACAAGAGTAACTAGCTAGTAACCTAGCTTTCGATTACTTTAATGTGCCAACAATGTTTGGTATCTTAAATGACTGTTATGATTCTCGTTCCGCGCACAACAAATTTTATATCGTTGCAAAGAGTAGAGAGCCAAAGCTTATATTTCGTGCAACGATGCAATTTTTTCACAGCGCAACAAGTTTAGGGTTTACGTGACAAGTTGCGCGATTGTGTTGCCCCTAAGTTAAACTGTTCCCAGCAACACAAGAATTAATGAATAAAAGAAATTCAACTAAAACAGGCAATTGTATATTGTATCAGATTTATTACCACTATCACTATACTTGGCTTCACCAAAAAAGATTTTGAATTCACCAGCAAAGATTCCTAACTATATTCGCTGCACTGGAGATCAGTCGTTTCCCAACTTCAGCTTGAATTACTCGAGCTCCGACGCCCCAGATCCTGGTTCCTCCGTAGGAGCAGGAGTTGGAGGTTTAGTAGGACGTGGTTTCAGACACATYTTTCCAAAGACAGGAAAATTACCAAAATGACGACAAACCAAACCCTCGACACAGGAGCAGAAGCAGCC